TTAAAGTTGGGAATTGCACCGGACATCATATTGTCACTGATACGTCACATTTGGAAATGTCCTCTACCTTTTGAAAGCTTTGCTAAGGCCTTGAATTTTGTAAACTTGATCAAAACAACTTCTGAGTCGTATGACGCTCTTTGAAATATTGGTAGAAAGAGCATTGTCGATTGTATCTCAAGAGTTGCGAAATGTAAACACCAAAGGCTGGAGCTGCAGGAAGATTGCTCGACATGAAGGGAAAGTTGTCTATTGGAAAGTTGTAGTCATCCCTCTTGTCATACAGTCTTGTTGAGGGTGTTTTATCACTATGAATCTTTATACATAGATCTAAATATGAAGCCGATGACCTTCATACCAAGTATGCTGTACATCGTTGAGATGTGTTGTACGTGTTCCGTGAGCTAAGGTTTAGATTTGTGTGTCAGCTATTATGAATCTGCTATTGACTTGTAATCGATGAAGATTATGCAAATCTGTGTTGTGCACCTGATAACTGTACGATAAAGAAATAATCGATATCCTGTGAGAATACAGTCAAACATCGATAACCACACGTGCACGGAGCCGTGAAATATACACGCCCCAATTTAATTATGAAAACCCAATAATCCAGAAACTCTACGGTCTTTGCCCAGTCTCGGTCAAAGGTATTTACAAAAATAAACATGGGAACATACTAAGGAAGAAAAAATGAAAACAAAAATTGTTCAAAAACTAAATATTTACACTATGTCGCCCATGGGCGAGAATATGTTCCTTTATTTAAAACTCATGTTTTTGTTTCGCAAATACATAAATGTATTTCTTTCAAGTTTCATGACATAAACTTTAACTCATTTTTACTTAATTGAACGATTTTATAGCGATATTGAAATATTTCGCCACTGTGTACTTTATTGATTATTCATTGATCTTGGGTGGTCATTTACTGAATTGAAGATTTAGTTCTTTGCCAACCGGGTTTAACCTCTGCGTTTCAGTTCAAGAGAGTTGTCGTGCCATAGATGGAATATAGCTGGCTTTGGTATAAATAAAAGCGACAAAACCTTTCAATAATCGCATGAAATCTGTACCAAAACTAGAGTCCACTGTACGATTCCAACCATATAATAAAGATGTGTTTATGAATCACTATCAAACAGTTATGACACCATGTGTTCGCAAGAAGGCGAATGTATCCTGCCCAATCGGTGGCATCCGTCACAAACACATGCAGAGTCACCCAAACAAACACGGGAATGTTAGTGTACGATGACACATCACCCGTTTATGAAAGCGTATTACTGCCACAGCCTAAAAAATATCATCTCCGAAAAAGAAAGTATAATCCACGTAGATGATGTATATTTTAGATCGTGGAACCATACCCGTTTGACAACTTTATTAAAAAATCTGGAATCACAATAGAGGCTCCGCAAAGATGCATTGTTCAGAGCGATATGTCTATTAGTAGTTAATGATGATTCAAGTCTTCTTTGCATAGTGAGTGAGTGAGTATGGTTTTACGCCGCTTTTAGCAACAGTCAAACACTGTCGTTTACGAGGGCTGGTCAAAAACTTCAAACCTAACCAACAAAACCAACAATAATTTTGGGTGAAAGTGTTTTTAATTAACACGTCCCATTCTAATTCTGGAAACCCAATAGTCCAGAAACTCTACGGTCTTTGCCCAGTCTCGGTCAAAGGTATTTACAAAATTAAACATGCTGTTTTCATGGGAACATACTAAGGATTTTGGTTGGTGTGTTGTTTAACGCCGCACTCAGCAATATTCCAGCTATATGACGGCGGTCTGTAAAATAATCGATTCTGCACCATACAATCCAGTGATTGACATCATGAGCATCGATCCACGCAAATGGGATCGATGACATGTATCAACCAAGTCAGCGAGCCTGACCACCCGATCCCGTCAATCGCCTTTACGACAAGCATAGTCGCCCTTTACGGCAAGTATGGGTTGCTGAAGACCCATTCTACCCCGGAATCTTCACGGGTGGTCACATACTAAGAAAGAAAAAATGAAAATCAAATTGTTCAAAAACTCAATATTTACGATGAAGCAAATCATCATAAAAGGCACCGGTAATCGTCTTTTGACTTTCTAAGTAATCAACAAGGATGACACCCTTTGCATCAAAGAATACAGTGGCTATAACTTTCTTCATTGATCTTGAAGACTTGAATTTCTTTGGTGTCTGAGAAGTGGAATGGTGCGATTCCATGGATTGACGTTTTGACTCGGCATCATAGTGGTAGACCCATGTTCCATCACCCGTTACTAATCTCTTTTTGAATATGACGAAATCCTTCTCAATTAGCTTCAGATTTTCTCTGGCAACGTCAGTTCTTTTTTCCTTAAGATCAGAATTTAGAAACGTTGGCAACCATCGAGCAGATACCGATCTGTAAATGTTCATGAATAATGGTTTCAATAGATCCATGGCTTAGACCTGTGCCTTCCCCAAGTTCAGCAATTATAATACGTCTATTTGTCGGTATAAGTTTTTCTATCTCCTTGATTGAATCTTCTATTATGGAAGTTGAGGGACAACCAGACCTAGGATCACCATCAAAGCTTGTTCTCCCAGCCTTAAACATAGGTGCCCAACCTTTAACAGTGGAATAGCTAGGGTGCTTATCCCAATACACTTGTGACATGCGGTCATGAATGTCTTGGGGAGTACTTTTCTCTTAAGTCAAAAACTTGATGACTGCTCCGAACTGGTTCTTTTCCATTTTTGTGTCCATTTGGACCCCTATCATGTTCAACTGGCTGTCACTTATATACAAACGGCCTAAACAGACCAAATATACTTGCAATGAACTACTCAAACAATGTACTTCATTGACTAGTTCATTTGGACTGTAGTTGAAATTTACTCAGGCTTAGAACTTTTTTACCAGCTCGCGTATTTACCACCTGAGCTAGAAATAAAGAAGACCAATGAAACCGCATCGTATGTTTCATATTTCGATTAATGCATAAAGACTGATAAAAATATGACTGTATGACAATAGGGATCACTCCAACTTTCCAATAGTCAACTTTCCCGATAAGTTGAGAATATTGCAGCAGGTCCAGCCTTTGGTTTCTACATTTCACAACGTTTGATGCTCAATCCAGAATGCTCTTTCTAGAAAGCTTTCAAAAAGCGTCATACGACTCATGTAAAGAGATGTTTTGCTCAGGGTTACATGTAAGACCTTAGCAAAGCTTTTAAAACGTTTTATGGCAAACATGGGGAGGACATTTCAAAATTGAATCTTCACTGACAAAATAAAATGTCTGATGTCTGATGCAGTTCCCCATTTGACCTGTACCATAGGTTCTCGTGTTGACTTGCCTTTACATCGTACAACTGACTCCGCTTTTAGCCGATAGTCCTTAAGATTATGGAAATCTTTTTATCGCTTTTATGTTCCGGACATCCAGCACATCCGACATAGAATATTTGTTTACGTAACACTTGAGGCACAAGTATAGTATTTTAGTACTTTTCCTATAAAGTAATCCATCCTGTTCATGTATGTCCCTCATGTCCTCAGAGTAAGCATCACCCATGTCAAGGACGTCCCTGTGATGCAGCTCACACATGTGCTGCCGTGGAGGCAGCATCCAGCTTCATCTGCTTACCTGTGCCAGGTGACTATATTTTTGTACCATGACTCGTGCATTTGTTTAACACTGTTCATATATAAAAGTGTAAATAATGCTATTCCGTAACACGTAGTTGGGTGATAATATTATGTTTTTAACCTGCCGGGCAAAAGAAAGTATACACCTACGTCTGATGGCTGCTAACAACGAAACAAACCAGAAATGGTTATTCGATTGTGATTTGATACGGGTGTCAGATTTGTGTTTATACGGGTGTCAGATTTGTGTTTATACGGGTGTCAGATTTGTGTTTTGGATCTGAAGTTTGCAGTGTTTCGGCGACGTAACGTTTTTTTTATAACTTTGGGAATTTTGTTTTATTCAAATCCAATTTACAAATGTATACTTATACTTTCTTTTGCCCGGCAATTTGTCAGCCTTTGGAACAAATCCCAAATACATGTATGAACTGTATGTTTACTCAGAGGATACAATGGATATCCCAACATAACCAGTATACCAGTTCTGTGTGATCAAATTGTGTACATTAAACGTTCCTATAAAAAGAACTTTTACAGTTCAGAAAATACGCAGACAATAGAACGTATTCATTTTTTTGTTAAATATCCTGGACTATAGGCTAAAACCTTGATACATGTAGGTATAATGACTAGGTACATATAGTAACAAATTGGATCACACGTTGCAGCCAGTATGTGTTTATGACATTTAAACATGTATTTCAATTTTTTTTCGGATTTTATAAAACGGTGTACATTCAGGCTATTTAATCTACTTCTGGAAACGTATTTTTATGGTGTAAAATTGAATTCCTTAACAGATTCGAATATTTTCCTAAACTTAACACCAGATCCCCAAAGGACCTCCACTACAATATATTTCCATTCCAGTTGCAGCAACTACTTTAACAACTGAACCTCCAACTTCTACTACTACAACAGCTACTACTACTACCACCACTACTACTACTACTACTACTACTACTACTACTACTACTACTACTACTACTACTACTACTACTACTACTTCTGCAACTAGTTCGTCGACAACTGCATTGCCCCTTTGCCGTAGGAACAATTTCCCTAAAAATCATTGCTTCTGTTGTTTTTGATTGATGTACATGCATTCGTCTTCATGTATTTTCGGCATGACTTTACCAAGATCTTTAAAGGTTTTATTTCAATATAAATAATGATCATAGCGACAAGGTCGTGATTGCTGCTCAAACCAAACGTGTCGCGACGTGCTCTGATGAGTTCGAGTTTCTAAAGAAAAATGTAGTTATCGAAATGTAAGACTCGATTTCCTCAAAATAAGACAACATTTTAAATGTTTCACTGCGTCGATATGATTTTAGGTTGCAAGTACATGGGATGCTATTTGGATGACAACAACAGAATGATAAAGGACATCTGGGTGGAAAGTGATGTTATGACTCTGGAATGGTGCATGACGAAATGCAGAGGGGGCAACCATACCTTTGCTGGTCTCGAGGTACGTCTTACTGAAAACCACTATGGCAACATTTTGCCAATTGACATCCGCTCACTTAAAAAGCTGCTCATCTCTTGGCCAGACTCTCAAATTTGTCTGATGAACTGAAGACATATCCTTGCAAATAACGCTATCTAGTCTAGCTGCACTCCCTTCTGTTAGCACAACATTTCAAAACATTATGATCTTCACGGGTGTCAGTTGTATTAAGGCGAGTCAGCTTGATGTGGGAGGAAATCCCTAGGTAATGCAGGTTTTGGACATTAAACACGTTTGAGACGTCCACAGGCATGGGTATAGTGCTGACAAACCTAGTTACATAGCCACGGATACCCTGGATTCGAACATACGATCATAGGTTGTGGCGCACCAAAGGGACATAACTCTCCGCCTAAGACTACTGGACCACCCATACCCCCTCCTGAATAATATATGACGTATTGTTATTTGACTCATTTTTAAAATTGTATTAGTGAAATGGAAATCAAATAACTCGAAGGCCCGGGCTCAATTCCCCACGAAGGTACAATGTGTGAATCCCATTTCTGGCGTCACTCGCCATGATATTGCTCGAATATTGCTAAATGGGGCCTAAAACCACACTCACTCACTCACTTACTGTCCATTTAATCATCACTTAACTTTTAAATATAGTTTTTATCATAAATGTTTTTTATTCATGTGAGTAACACACCTCGGATATAACGAACTGATTTTATTTTATTTATATTTCATATCCAGAACTAAACTTTTTTTCCCTTTCAGCACTACAGACACTGCTTCTGTGGCGACTCCTATGATGAGTCCGTGTACCCAAAGAAGGCCGAGTCCGAGTGTAACACGCCATGTACAGGGAATCCACAACAGATGTGTGGAGGCGTGTGGAGACTGTCAATGTTCAGATGTCGTTGACATGTTAGTTGATGTTAATCGTGGGGGAATACTTATGTTTAGATATCTTTAAATGTTAGAGTGGTATATATGTATTATCGCACATGTAATATTGAGCGAGAATGGATTACGCCACTTTTAGCAGTATTTCAGCACATCGCATCACACCAGAAATGGGCTTCACACGTTGTAATCATGCGGAGAAGCGAACGCTTTAGCCACTAGGCCACCACACCGCCGCCATATCTAGGCAGGGGTTTGGGGGACAAGAAGGAAGGGAGAGAGGGGCAGCAAGGGGGGGGGGGGGGGGGGGGGGGGGGGGCAGAGTTTAGGTAAGAGAGGGCAGGGAGGGGGTTAGAGTTTAGGTGAGAGGGGGCAGGAAGTTGGCAAGAGTAGAGGAGAATCGGTGTGTGTGGAAGGGGCAGGATGGGGATAGATTGGGTGATAGAATAAAGTAAGGGATCTAGAGGGGGCAGGGAGTGGGCTAAAGTGTAGGGGAGACTGGGGCAGGAAGGTGGCTAAAGTGGAGGGGAGAGAGGGGGCAGGAAGTGGGCTAAAGTGGAGGGGAGAGAGGGGGCAGGAAGTGGGCTAAAGTGGAGGGAGAGAGGGGGCAGGAAGTGGGTTAAAGTGTAGGGGAGAGAGGGGGCAGGAAGGGGGCTAAAGTGGAGGGGAGAGAGGGGGCAGGAAGGGGGGCTAAAGTAGAGGGGAGAGAGGGGGCAGGAAGGGGGCTAAAGTGGAGGGGAGAGAGGGGGCAGGAAGGGGGCTAAAGTGGAGGGGAGAGAGGGGGCAGGAAGTGGGCTAAAGTGGAGGGGAGAGAGGGGGCAGGAAGTGGGCTAAAGTGGAGGGGAGAGAAGGGCAGGAAGTGGGCTAAAGTGGAGGGGAGACTGGGGCAGGAAGTTGGCTAAACTGGAGGGGAGAGAGGGGGCAGGAAGGGGGCTAAAGTGGAGGGGAGAGAAGGGGCAGGAAGTGGGCTAAAGTGGAGGGGAGAGAGGGGGCAGGAAGTGGGTTAAAGTGTAGGGGAGAGAGGGGGCAGGAAGGGGGATAAAGTGTAGGGGAAAGAGGGGGCAGGAAGTGGGCTAAAGTGCAGGGGAGACTGGGGCAGGAAGGTGGCTAAAGTGGAGGGGAGAGAGGGGGCAGGAAGTGGGATAAAGTGTAGGGGAGAGAGGGGGCAGGAAGGGGGATAAAGTGTAGGGGAAAGAGAGGGGCAGGAAGTGGGCTAAAATGGAGGGGAGAGAGGGGGCAGGAAGTGGGTTAAAGTTGAGGGGAGAGAGGGGGCAGGAAGGGGGTTAAAGTGTAGGGGAGAGAGGGGGCAGGAAGTGGGCTAAAGTGTAGGGGAGACTGGGGCAGGAAGGTGGCTAAAGTGGAGGGGAGAGAGGGGGCAGGAAGTGGGCTAAAGTGGAGGGGAGAGAGGGGGCAGGAAGTGGGCTAAAGTGGAGGGGAGAGAGGGGGCAGGAAGTGGGTTAAAGTGTAGGGGAGAGAGGGGGCAGGAAGGGGGCTAAAGTGGAGGGGAGAGAGGGGGCAGGAAGGGGGGCTAAAGTAGAGGGGAGAGAGGGGGCAGGAAGTGGGCTAAAGTGGAGGGGAGAGAGGGGGCAGGAAGTGGGTTAAAGTGGAGGGGAGAGAGGGGGCAGGAAGGGGGCTAAAGTGGAGGGGAGAGAGGGGGCAGGAAGTGGGCTAAAGTGGAGGGGAGAGAGGGGGCAGGAAGGGGGATAAAGTGGTGGGGAGACTGGGGCAGGAAGGGGGTTAAAGTGAAGGGAGAGAGGGGGCAGGAAGGGGGCTAAAGTGGAGGGGAGAGAGGGGGCAGGAAGTGGGCTAAAGTGGAGGGGAGAGTGGGGCAGGAAGTGGGCTAAAGTGGAGGGGAGACTGGGGCAGGAAGTGGGCTAAAGTGGAGGGGAGACTGGGGCAGGAAGTTGGCTAAACTGGAGGGGAGAGAGGGGGCAGGAAGTGGGCTAAAGTGGAGGGGAGAGAAGGGGCAGGAAGTGGGCTAAAGTGGAGGGGAGAGAGGGGGCAGGAAGTGGGTTAAAGTGGAGGGGAGAGAGGGGGCAGGAAGGGGGATAAAGTGTAGGGGAAAGAGGGGGCAGGAAGTGGGCTAAAGTGGAGGGGAGACTGGGGCAGGAAGTGCTCTAAAGTGGAGGGGAGAGAGGGGGCAGGAAGTGGGTTAAAGTTGAGGGGAGAGAGGGGGCAGGAAGGGGGTTAAAGTGTAGGGGAGAGAGGGGGCAGGAAGGGGATAAAGTGGAGGGGAGACTGGGGCAGGAAGGGGGATAAAGTGGAGGGATAGAGGGACAGGACGTAGGCAAAAGTGGAGGGAGAGAGGGGCAGGAAGGGGGGTTAAGTGGAGGGGAGAGAGGGGGCAAGAGGTGGGCTAAAGTTGAGGGGGTAGTGGGGGCATGAAGTGGGCTAAAGAGGAGGGGAGAGAGGGGCAGGAAGGGGCTTAAGTGGAGGGGAGAGAGGGGCAGGAAGGGGGTTAAAGTGTAGGGGAGAGAGGGGGCAGAAAGGGGGCTAAAGTGGAGGGAGGAGAGGGGGCAGGAAGGGGGCTAAAGTGGAGAGGAGACTGGGGGCAGGAAGTGGGCTAAACTGGAGGGATGATCGCCTGTCTTACTGAGCATGTGTTTCGCTGCGGGAACTTCTTGCCCTTCCATGTTTATGGTCCGACATACCCCAAGACTCCTTTACATTGTAGCCGCCATTATAGTGAGTGAGTTTTGTTTTACGTCACCTTTAACGTTATTACTGGCAAATGTGTGAAATGTTTTTCACACATTGTCCCCACGTGAAGATTTGAACCCAGGCTTGGGCGTCACGAGTGAAACCTATAACCACTAGGCTACCACGCCGCACTGACCATTATGCAAAATGTAGGAGACCGACTATTTGATATTTGACAGAAATATCCTGAAAGAAATGTGTTTTGCACAGATATATAAATGTTCAGCTCATTTCAGAAAGAAAGATTGTATGCTTTGAAACAGTAGCCCGATAATAGCCTGTTTATGTCAAAAAGTCCCATCACCTCCTGCTGCCACTCCTCTTCAGAAATTAAAAAATCCATTTGATGACACAGCCGTTTTTATCCGCGTGGAAGCCCCTTTGTTCCCCTCACGAGTACAGCTGATGTTGATAGTAACTGAGTCATTATTTATCAGTGCAAAAGATGGCAATCTCTTTGGTGTGTGATCAAACTAACACAATAAGGTTATCTGTAAATAATATATGTTGCGAATATTTTTGAATAGATCTTCAATGTTAACTTCACCTGCAACTTTGAAAACAAACACAGTAACACCCATTGATTTAGCAAGAACGGTTCTTCCCTGCAGTCAATATTGCCTTGCTGGAAGGCGAAGTGGTTTGGCATCAATTAGACAATATTTGTTGGTCACTATGCAACTATTTACTTGTAAAACTTCAACTTTGTATTGCGCAATTCATGAGCTGGTGAATAAAATCTTTGTATTAACCAGGCGCATCACATTATAAATAAGTTATACAGAGATATAATGAAACAATGGTGTGATTGGTTCCAGTCTATACAGTAGTGCATTGTTTGGCAGGTTGCTACGGTAACGGCCATATACATCCTTCCTAAGTTTCCTAAGAAGGAAGAAGGAAGAGGACAAATACAGCATCAATAATATTTGCTGCGAACCAAAAATATGATTCCATATTTGTTTGGCTGATGATCAAGAATTGTTTGGGCGTTTATGTCTTTATAAACCGAAAACAATTTGTCCACACCCACCAACGGACTGCTGTTTCCTGAAAATAGAAAGTAGGAAGGAAAGGCTTGTGTCGTAATTGTTTGGTTAGTTCCCAGCTAGCTCAAAACCTCATTTTTTCAGCTCAAATGCAGTCACATGTAACACAGGTGTAAATTGGCTGAACACTGGGGGATTAAAGTATAGTCTGTTCCATCTCCTGACCATACCAGACATCAGATTTAGTTTGTATGAAAAATAATATAATGGTTGAAGGATGACTGGGGGAAAGGACCGTCCACCCATTGTTCAGTGACGTAGTCCGCAAACTTGACAACTTGATGGACATGTGTTGGTCCATTTTCCACCAGGTCCATGTTGGTCCACCAGGCATCCTCAAAACGTACAGTTGCTAATGGCAACGTGGCTGCACGTCTCCTTGTACGGGGACTGGAGGCCTAACAGCTGAGGCTGGCGCCAAAGGCACTGGGAATATTGGAGAGAAAAAACTTTCACTTCTGTTGTAGGAAAGATTGCTCTGACACCATTCTAAGCCGCTTGTTTGAAGTCCTTAAAAACGGAACGCGGTTGTAGATCAGCTGGTAGTTGGTCACGGACGGCTTAAAAACTCTTGGTGTACTTTGTTTCCCTTCTCGTCGGGTAGTAGTGCATATATACGCGCGGGAACATCTCTCCCTCTACAAAGGCATTGATCGTATACAGTTGGTGGTAAAGGGCAGGCAGGATAGGAATGTTCCATCGCAGTACCAGGTGTCGGCAGCAGCAAGGTTGCGGTTCTGACCAACACTTCGTAACTTGATCTCAATATACCTAGTCACTTCAAGAAAGTTAATACTAACCACAACACAACCAGGTGATAGGTGTTCACTCTAAATTCAACTGTCAAATGCTATCTTCAACTTCTAAGCTTTAAGCTGACTAGCGTTCACCCGTCAGGAACTGACTATAAGCCCCCAGCCATTATCCCCTTTATCCTTCCGAATTTCAGTTTATAACTAAATTGGAAAGCCCCACTGTGCCCTCACCCTGGGTGTAGTTATATGGGATTAAGAGCTACAGCTCTCAATATCACAGGGGACACATATCAAAGCCAGCTCAAGATCATACGTGACACAGATCAAAAACAACTCAGTATCATAGGGGACACATATCAAAGACAACTCAATATCATAGGGGACACATATCAAAGACAACTCAATATCATAGGGGACACATATCAAAGACAACTCAATATCATAGGGGACACATATCAAAGGCAACTCAATATCATAGGGGACACATATCAAAGACAACTCAATATCATAGGGGACACATATCAAAAACAACTCAATATCATAGGGGACACATATCAAAGACAACTCAATATCACAGGGGACACATATCAAAGACAACTCAATATCACAAGGACACAGATCAAAGACAACTCAAAATTATAGGGGGCACATATCAAAGCCAACTCAATATTATAGGGGACACATATCAAAGACAACTCAATATCATAGGGGACAGAAATCAAAGACAACTCAATATCATTGGGGACACATACCAAAGACAACTCAATATCACAGGG